AAAAAAAAAAAAAAAAAAAAAAAAAGAATATGGCTCAGCCTGTCATTCCAGGACCTTGGGAGGCTGCGGCAAGTAGACTGCTGAGCCCACGGGTTCCAGACCAGCCCGGGCAACTTGGCTGGATCTCGTCTCTACAATAAACTAAAAAATTAGCTGGATGTAGTAGCACCTGCCCATAGTTCTGGCTACTCGGAAGGCTGAGGCGGAAGGATCACCCGAGCCCAGCAGGTCGATGTTGGGGTGGCTCTGAGCGTGCCCCTGCACTCCAGCCTGGGCAACGGAGTGCAATTCCAACTCAAAAGAAAAATGAATTAATCGATACCTTTGGTTCAACAACCAACTCCAGCTCACCCTGTGCCTACTCAGCAGTTTTAACAGCAGTCCCCAGAGCAATCTGGTCCCCAGCCCCAGTACCTGGTTTGGCCAGGGATTTAGCCTGAGTTTTGGCAGTCACAGGTGTTGACTTTGACTTCTGGTTCTGTGGTGCCTCATCCTCTGAGCTTGAGTCAGAATCAGAATCTGAGCTCTTGGCCTTCTTAGGAGGCACTGCGGCTGCCTTGGCTTGGGGCTTTACTGCCTTCTGTTAGAAACACAAAAGGAAGAGAGTAGGCAAAAGCTTCAGGTATTCAAAGGGCGTTCCAGGTTCCTTTTGCTGCTAGGGCCTAACAAAGCAACAAGAGTGAAAGGAAGCTACGCAAGACAGAATACTGAAAGGGCAAACACTCAGCAAAAAACAAAATTCAGGGATGGGACACACTGGCCCTTTCCCACCATGTCCTGCCAAGAGCTCCCAACAGAACGCTCTCTTGTCCTTGGAACCCGAAGCAGTGTATCAGAAGGACCCAGGACCCTCACCCAGGACGGGCCGGATTTCCTCTCAATTCCTTTGCAGACCGCATACTTCTTCTATCGCCTCCCTGAAAACCCCCAGATCTCCTTCCCCATAATCACCGACTGCACAGCCACCACCCCCTGGTCACAGGCTAAAGGCCAAAATGTTAGGCTTCTTCCTTCCTGACCCTTAAGAAATCCCCTTCCCAAAGCTGCAAACCTGGATGGGTGTTTTCTTTTTGTCATCGGCCTCCTCCTCATCGCTGGACTCTTCGCTGCTGCTGGTGGTCTCGGGTGCTTTGGCCGCAGCCTTTCCAGGATGTGGAGGCAGACTGGCCCGCCTGGCAGGTGCAGCTGAACAAGAGTTGGCCACCGGTGAGACTCAGTCACACGGTACAGGCAGGCCATGAACTCTTCCTGGAGCCACCACGCCTCCCCCTGCTCTGCCTTACCAGCCTTCCTAGTGGGAGCCCCTCGAGCCTCCTCCTCACTGCTGTCTTCACTGCTGTCACTGGAGGAGGCCTTCTTCTCAGCCTTCTTAGTCACCGGTCCGTTTGCCTGTAGCTTCCGCTTGGGGGCCTTGGTGGACCTGCTGAGGTAGATCAGGCTCACTTCAGGGGATCAAGGCTGCCCCAAACCAAGGAACTCAGCCCAGCCCACCGGGGGGAGGAGGGGAGGAACCAGTCGAGGTGGGCAGGGGAAGGCTTACTTGAGCCAGAAGCTATAAATGTCCAAGAGAGAAGAGGCGTTGGCATCCTGCTGTGTCTACAGAAGAGAAAGAGCTGGGTAAGGAAGTCTTACCTTGGTTATCCTAAGAAAGATCAGATTTTGTGGCTTTTACTACTATATGTGATCTCTCATATACATACCTGCTAAATTTGATATAAATGCTACACCTTCATAAAACTTCTGTGCATACATTAGAACAAAAATTTCCATCTGTGTATCTCCCAATTTTTGGTACCAGAAACTTGGGCTATTTCAATAGTTTGGTGGTACTGTAACCTCTTGCCTGCCAACCCACATTTATCAACATCTTAAGAAATGTTCACTTCCCTTACTCTAGCTACACGTTACCTGAGAATTTCATCTCTTTTTTTTTGAGTTGGAGTCTCACTCTGTCGCCCAGACTGGAGTGCAGTGGCCGCTCCCAGCCACCACAGCCTCGACCTGCTGGGTGCTGGCAATCCTTCCGCCTCAGCCTTCCGAGTAGCTGGAACTACAGGCGCGCGCTACCACGCCTGGTTAATTTTTGATTTATTGTAGAGATGAAGTCTCGCCAAGTTGCCCAGATGGGTCTCGAATCCGCGGGCTCAGGCAATCCACTCACCTCAGTCTCCCAAAG